TCACAGTAATGCCTACTGCACAGGCTGTGGTAAAGAGTGAATAACACAACGCATAAAGGGCTGAGAACAGTACTTGCCATATGTTAAGTGTTCAAGAAGTATCAGTTCTAATGTTTTAAAAGAACATTCTAGGAAGTGATGAGTGAAGCACGAAGTGGGACTACAACATGGCAGCTTTATTCACCATTTCATCTTAAATGTCTAGTCCAGTGCTCGGCACAAAGTGGGTGTTTAAAACAGCATTTGTTGAACATACACAGGAATGAGTTGGGATGCAGAGACCACTGCAGGTTCTCTCCTAACCTTACCGTCCCTTGCTGCCAGGCCCACACATGTCCCAGCTGTGGGAACTTGGAGCAGTCACTGTCCTAGATGTCTCTCCTCTTTTGTCAAAAGAAAGAATGACATCAAAGAGCTAGAAACTCTATGTAGCTAGAAACTCAAATCAATATTCTGATCTCACTTTTCAGAAAAAGGATTATAAAGACCTTATGACATAATTTAAAAATACTTAAGGCATACTTGAAAATAATCAACTGTATGGAGACCTCAGAGTTGCTCTATTATAGTTTTACCATCTTCAAAACAAATTAATCACAAAGGGCAGACCAGCTCACTGGCACTGATGACACCACTCAGACATGCGCCAGCTCTCCCTAAGAGCTCTGCGGAGAGCCAAGAGGAAGGAAGTTGGATAAAGAGTCATTAATGCACAAACTCGCAACTAGAAGAATACATTCTGGAGACCTAATGGTGATTATGGTCAACAACACTGTATTAAATATTGAAAAATTTCTGAAAGACTAGATCTTTAATGTTCTCACCACAATACAGAAATGATATGATAAAGGTCTGACCTGAAGCTACGGTGTTAATCACTCATATAGTGATAGATCATATTAAACACCTTGTACATCTTAAACATATACGATGTGATATGTAAATCACATCTCAAGAAAAAAAGTAACTAATGCTCTTGCAGTCATATACATTGAGTGGCCAGATTATTATGATCTCTGAAGGCATATAATCTGGCCATTCAGTGTATATCCTATATAATAAAAGGCTAATATACAAATTGTCTCCTCGACCAGCAGGCAGGCCGGCCAACCACCCATGTCTCCTCCACCTGGCCAGGCTGGCTGCACCCTACCCATGAACGAATTCATGCACCAAGCCTCTAATCTATCTATATCTATATCTATATCTATATCTATATCTATATCTATATCTATATCTATATCCATATCCATATCCATATCCATATCTATATCTACACACACACACACACACACACACACACACACACACACTGAGTGACCATATTACATTCAGAGATCACAATGATCTGGCCACTCAGTGTATATTTTTGGTTTTTCAATACATGTGTGCTTGTATTTGAAAAAGAAAAGTTTGACTCACAGGCTATGCAATTAATGATAACTTTCAGAGTCTCTGTTTCTCTACCTAACCAAGGGGCAATGATACCTCCTCCAATGGGGCTGTCATAAGCATTACACAAAACTAAACTGCAAAGGCCACGTAAGAAACAACTTTCAATAAATAGTAGTAATTAATAGCATAATAATCATGACTGCAACTTTTTACAAGAGAATCACTTCCTTCCCAATGTTGACAACATTGAAAGTTATTCTTCTGGCTGATGTTAAACAGTATGGAAATGGCTTTACGATATGCCTTTTAGACAAGCTGATGGGGCACCAGGCATAGAAGTGAGTGCCAGCCAGGCAACACTTTCTGTGGGGTGCTGGATGGTGAGTTGGGGGGAAAAAATATTAACATTTGCAGAAAATGTGGGGTCAGAAAACAAGAACATAAAAGGATAGCAGAAAATAGTGGTTAACGTGTGATCCTACTTAATTCCTTTAAGCCTCAGTTTCCCCACCTAAGAAAAAAAATGGAGAACAATGCTTAGAACAAGGCCTGGAATACAGGGCTTGTTGAATAAACCAGAATGGTGACAGGAACGGCTGAAGTTACACCCAGTGGACTGTCAGGACACATCTGGAGTGAAGCCGGGGTGGCCTTCTAGGAGCACAACCTGGAAAGCTCTCAGGCTCATCCATCCACACGCAGGGCTCCTCCCAGGTGGCAAGGTGAAGTGCTGTAGCCACAGAGAGAGCCCGTTTCTATTTGAAATGACAGAGCTGGATCAGAGGCTAAGGCCGAAAGGAGCCCCGGGAGACTGGGAGGAACAGAAGCAAGTACATAGACTGTATGATGCCCTGTCTGTGGGCTGCCCCTGCCTTCTTTCATTCTTTCACAGCATCCTGGGACCCTTTTAGTTTCATGCGTGTCTCCCCAAGACAGAGGTCTCTGAGGATAGAGACTCTGTCCTGCTCACCATGGGATCCCCCTTCCACAGTGCTCGGTAAAAAAGTGTTGGAGGGAAGCCGAGGTGAGGAATAAGACCGGCCTGTAACTACTAAGCACTCGGTACTTGGGCCCTTCACCGCTCCCCACCTCACTTTCCATCCTTCGTACTGCTCCAAATAACTCAACGCTAATGTGCCAGGGGAGACAGCGCGGCCAAGAACCCTCTGAGTAAAATCCTAGCCTTGTTTGTGTGGAGGCCTACAAACACTCCACAGAAATGGCCCAGGAACCTCCTCCAGCCACCTTCCTCCGTCCACGCACACACCCCTCAAAACTGACACAAATAAAAGTGAACGCAGCCATGCTGCCAATGGGCTGATTGTTTCTTCCTTCTCTCTTTACAGCCACACATCCACCAAATTATTTTCTGTATTTTCCTTGCATGTCTTTCTCATACAGTGGGCTCACTAATCCATCAGCCATTGCCTCGCAGAATCACACGTGAATGACTATTGGTGAGTCTTACTGCGATTCTGCCTGTATGGCACTGCAAGACAGACTTTTCTAAAACACAAGTTCCAACATACTTCTTCCCCATTCAAGATTTAGGCTCCTTACTTTTTACCTTTACCCAATCTACTTGGGTTATTAAGGTCCACCCTACATAGGCCCTACCCTACCTATGTAAGGTACACATTACTTATTTTTTTTCTTAAGTCTTATATAAATCTTTATTGTTGAAAGTATTATATATGTCTCATTCTCCTCCCACCACCCCACTGATCTCTTCTAGCTCGCCCCCCTCACCCCAAGCCTTCACCATCCTATTGTCTATGTCCAGGGATTATGCATATATGCATATAAGTTTCTTGGCTGATCTCTTCCCACTCACCCTCCCACCTTCCCTCTGAGATTCTGCAGTCTGTTCTATGCTTCTACGTCTCTGGATCTATTTTGTCCATTGGTTTATTTTGTCCATTAGATTCCACATATGAGTGTGATGATGTGATACTTGTCTTTCTCTGACTGGCTTATTTCGCTTAGCATAATACTTATTTATTCAGGTCTGTTTGCTGAATCTCCTATTCTACTTAGATTAGTGACCTCACAGCACTAATCACTAAAATTATTCTCTCATTTAAATACAGTATCTAAAATGTTTGCTTCTATATACTTTGCCTAGATTGTTTCCACTTTTAGAATATCCTAATCCCTTGGCTATTCAATTAACATCTCACTCTAAACCAAGTATGTCAGTACTAACATGCCTATAATAATAAAAGCATAATATGCTAATTAGACTGGACATCCTTCCAGATTACCTTCTGGATGAAGCCAGGGCTTTGAGGGAAGCCCAGGTCCCAGGTGCCAGAGGGAAGCCAGCGCTGGCAGCCCGGGTAAGGAAGGCCTACTCATGCATGAATTTCGTACATTGGGCCTCTAGTAAAATAATTTTGCATTTAACTCTCTATTTCTTGTACTATGCACAAGTTTTCCTTCTTCAACAAAAACAAATTGCTCGAGGGCAGGGAGTTTACATTATTTTTACCCATTTACCCAACAAATATTCATTGAGTTCCAGAGCTATGCCAGATACTACACTTAGTTTGATATAGCAAAGAACAAAATAGACATAATCCTGGACCTTGAAGCACCTACATTCTAGTTTGTATGTGTGCCTGTATGTGTGTGGAGGGGAGAGGGGGATGAGATAAACATTTACACATAATTGTAAGATTAGAAACTGAGGTAAGCACCATGAAGTAGAAGTATAGTGCCATGAGACCATGATAAAGCTTCACATTAAAAGAAAATACCCCTGAGCTAAGAGCCAAAGGATAAAAGAGAAACAGACAGCCAAATGCCCACAGGTCTAAGGAAGCCAGGGCCTTAAAGGAACAGAAGAAAGGTTGGTCTCCACAAGCCCAGAGGGCATAAGATGAGCCATATTAGAGAAGGCCAAGGAGACACAGGCTGGGTGTAGTTTTTAGTATTGAACCAGAACCGAGAAGTATCACTAAGGATAAACCTTACGTGGTCTTTAAGAGTCATAACACTCCATGGTAAAGGTCATTTCTGAAATTTGTTATCTGTCTATTTGGAGTTTAAAAATGCTGAACATCCAAAGCTTAAAAAACACAAATACTTAAAGTGCTTAGGATTTTTGCTAATTTTCTCAAGTATAATAAATAAGTATAGATCAGTGAAAACAATAATATAGGCTATGACCTACCCTATCTTACACATTTGATGCCAAAATGCTTTACATAGGCCACCTAACAGATGGTAATGCATTTCAGCCATCACCACGTGAGTAGGATTCAAGCCAATGATCCCAGAGGTGAGAGGTTGTATATCCAATTACAAATTTCCACTTTCCTTAAGTGTGAAGATGCCTAGAGCAATATATTGTACTTACATCTAGCTGCATTGTATAAACTATATCTGATAAAAGAGATGACTTCACGTTCTCGACTTAAGTCAAAGAATGCTTACTTAAGTATTTTTTTAATTGAATCCCACTTTAATGCCATTGTATAATCTTTTGGTTAACAGTGCTCATCTTGATTATTCTAACAAAGGGAAACATGGAAGTTAATAGGTAAGCTGTAGCGTGTATGCCATCTATAAAAATACACACGAAAAAATTCAAAAATGGGTACCTGGAACATCCGTGAAGGTTTCTCCAAGGACGGATACGTGGAAATTGAGTCCTAAGTCCTTCAGATGCATTAATACCTTAAAAAAACTCTCTGGGTCTTTATCGTGCTCCCTGGAAATAAACACACAAAATATCACTTGCAATACCTTAGGATCTGTGTTAGGAAAAGCATTTTCACATCTCACAGTATCAGTTCCTTTCATGGTCCATTGTCAGGAGAGCCTCTGGCACCCAAGCAGAGATTTCCCCCTATCACCTTATATTGTTGCAACAACACTGAATTTTTTTCATAAATATTATTTACCATGTATCAACACCCAGTCCTATTGAATCTTAAGGGTCTGCAGCCTTTTATTAAAGGAAAAGTCTATTTTGTTTTTCACATTTTTTGGGTTAGATTATAGAAAGGCTAGTGTAGTTTCCTCTCCCCTAAAATGGATAATTTTCCACTTCACACAGGTTTTAACAAGAGAAAAGACCAATCTTCAAAGGATGGCTCTTTGCTGACCATGAGGATGTACCCAGGATGCTTGCCATTTCCATGAGTGTGAATACCTTTCCCTCACAGTCAATGAGCAGTTGGTGCCCACAAAGAATACCGATTAAGGAAGTGAGACTATTGACTTTCTCACCAATCTCTATTTCAAATAACTGAATGGAGAATTAGAAATACATCAAAAAGGGTTGGCCTGAGTCTAAATCCACTGACACTAACTTAGGAGTGGAGGTGAGTTGACATATAATTCTTTCATTCCATACAGGCTTTAAAAACATGGATTATTTTTGTTTGTTTAGCTTGTCAGTCTTCTTTGTAATGACAGAATGAGAGGCTAAAGGACATAAAATAAAATAAAAATTCACCAATTTAAGAAATCATATTCAAATGGAGTGAGTTATTTTTTACATTCTAAGGTGTGAATATTCTAGTATTTCTTGCATTTAATTACACTGTTTTAAATTATCTTATTTCACACAGATGTGGACCAGATGTCTCCAAAATATTTGCTTTTTTATTTATAATGCAGAATTTTAACTTATTTTCTATATCACAGAGAAATAGTTATGTATCAGCAATTGAATTTCTCATTTACCAACTAATTATGTAAAAATAAATCTGTAAATTGATCAAACTGAGATATAAAATATGAAAATTACATCATTTAAGAAATCTCATGAAAATGACATCTGCAAACCTAAATATGTTAATTCACAATTCAGTCAATATTTTCAGTATCAAGAATTAAAACAAATGCATCTTCTGAATAACATTTAAAAATGGCATTTCTAATCTCATGCAATTGTAGATTCTTATAGGATTAGAATTCAGTAACAAGTTATTTTAAGCTCTATGTTGCTCAGTTTGACTTACTGCATATAATAAAGAATGCAGTGGCAAAGTGCTCATGTCTTTTTAAGATGATGCTGGTTACATGCACATACCTTAGGGAAGTTTTGGGATAGTTCTCATATACACACGCTACTGCTGTAGGCAAGAAAAAGACCCCAAATCTTTTGAGTAAAGAATATGCCACATGTTACCTCCACCCATATCAAATAGCTGCCACTTAATCTGTAATGTGTTCTTTTAGCTTGATTCTTTTGTATTCTTGCTCTGGTAGGTTGCTTGTTTCTAACTCGTTTACTTCCTTTTCTGGTGATGCCTGCTTTTCTTTCATGTGCGGGCTATTTCTTTGTCTCCCCATGGTCTTTATTTTCATGATGTCTGGTTATGTGGTATTCCTTCTCCTTTCTGTGGGTAATTGAAGAACTCCCTTGAATCCATGTGTTTGCGCCAATTGGGGCGTCACAGCTGCTCCATGGTCTCCTCTGCTGTGGGTTTTCCAGGCCTCAGAGAAGATCCTCCTTTCCTGGTAAGATGGCGCAGCCTTCCCTCTGAGCCCGTAGCTCCAGGAGAGGTCTTCACTGCCGCAGTGCTAGCTGCTTGGTCAGGAAATCCTGTCCAGCGGACCCTTCCTTACCTTCCTTTAGAGTTCTGCTAACCCTTAGCTGCCAATCAATATTCCCAGAGCGACTCAGACACTGCTTCTATCTGTTCTGGGACCAGGGTCAGAACAAGTCTGTCTGTTCAGCTGCCATCTTGTCTCTCTCCTCAGCTTGATTCTTTTGTAAATACTTATATGAAAAGAATGGAAACAATACAACATAATATATCTTAAAAAAGGAGTAACACTATAGGGAAATTTAGCCACTCAGTCTCTCTAAATTTTTTATTTTGAGTTCCAAAAATTTTGGCTGTGGATCCCCAAGAGAGAAAGTATCCTAAATATTTCCTGCTGGTGTTTTATTTGTTTGTTTTGTATTAAAGAAAATGTAGATGTGGTTTGGGGTTGGGAAGAGGTTTAATTGGGAAGAAGCTGTAGTTCTTAAAAGATTCCAATGTGTTTTCAAAGCAGCAGGCTTTATAAATCTACATTTTCAGTGTTTCTATAAGAGATAAATGAATCACAATCCTACTGTATTTTTAAGATAATTTTTATTGGTGGATAAAAGCTTTCGTATTCAATAGTCACTTTGCATAAGAACACAAAAGAGATTTATATGAATCGCCTCCTTTTTTGATTAAACTATAAGAATGAATGTAAGGTGAGATTTTTTTTTTTTATCCAAAATTATCCTTGAGGAAAAAAACACACTATAAAAATGTTATACTAAAGTTCTTATAAAGTTTCTCATAATACCAGGCACTCTTTCAATTACTTTATTTTGAACCCAGCTCTGTTTAGGGAAGCTGCATTAACCTGATAAAGTGTCCACTGATGAGCATTCTGGATGAGCAGTGGATTACTGGTGAAAAAAGAAGCAAAGGAATTGATACAGTACTAGGTTAGGGATTATTTGTGGGGACATAACCTAACAATTCAAAGAGTTGGATGCTGTCAAAAACAAGTAATTGCTGGAGGCAGGTAAAAGGGGGAGGAGAGGTGATACCGACAATGTCAACATTCAAATTTCTAAATAATAGTGGTTAACTCAGGTTTTAAAGTGCTCAATTTCAGCAAGTTTAGCCCCATACGTGAATAGTAAGCGTGTGTTTATAGTGCAGGAGATTTCCAGGGCTGGCATCATACAGTTTCACAGGTCTTGCACCTCACACCATTCAGACTGAATTCCAGCTGAGTGGATGGGGGCGTGCCCGCTGCCTGAAAAGGTGGCATTTTTCTGAGGTCAAGAAGCCACTGGAGGTGGTGTTGGACTAAAATGGCTTGATGAACTATAAGGGTGGGAAAAGAGCAATGCTTCTAAAAATATGCTACATACTTTGTGCTTTGAAGTATTATGTATAAATTAGGTTACATAGGTAGACACATGACACACAGTCAATTTAGCTGAAAGTTTTTCTGGATTTTCTCTTTAGAAAGTGGGAAATTGCCTAATATTTAGGCAACCATTAAAGATGCACACAGATATTTAGCCACATCCATACACCCAGGCATGGACATAGCAATGGTAGAGCTCGGATTTTTTCATCCAGAAAGGAACTCATTCCAGATACCCAATAGGCCATCCATGGATCTTATGCCAGCTCCCGAGACATTAATGAACCCATCCAGCAGGATATATGTCTGTCTTAATGTCCTTTTTAAGAAGTCTAATGTGAAACTCCCATGATTTTAGCATAAAGCATTAAACATAAGATGAGTGACCCTGTCTGTCAATAGCTGTCAAGATTAAACACACAATCACAATATATTCAATTCCCTTGGAGACATATGGGCTCCCTAAACACTCTTCTGCTCTCATCCATTGCTGGTAGGAATGTAAATGGAAATAATAGTTTAGAAGGCAATTCGGTAATGTACATAATTAAGTCTTAAAATCTATATAATTTTTGCCCCAGTGGTTCCAGTTCAGAAAAACTACCCTATGAAATAATTAAAGAGGTGCACAGAAATTCAGCCAGAGCACTTTCATAACAGCATTGTTTATAATGGTGGCCATCTCTACCCAATGAGATGATAAGGCTGTTAAGTAAAAGTGAAGTGACATAGCATTTGCTATAGGCTCTGTTTTATAGGATGAATGTATGTACCTAGAAAAAAGTTTGGAATAACTGTACTAAAATATTAACAGGGTTTATCTCTAGGCACTGCATTATACATGTTTCTTTTTCTTTTTTCACATGCTTTCTATCATTTTTAACAAACTTTAAAAAATATAAATCATTTTAATATTTTAAGGAACCACCTCTAACATTCTGTCGTAAAATGGTACTCACAGGATTTGTGCTTAGCTCTGTTAACATTTTCAGTGTTTACAGTAGCATAATTCCTCATTTCCTGTGACCCTTCTACATGACAGCTGCCCATGGAGCAAACCAGATTTATCATAAAATATTCTGGAAGGTGAGTCAGGGTCCAAGCTTCCCAACAATCCCTACATTCCTGAGTAGTAAGAATGAAACAGTCTGGCTGGGACTCATTCTTCCTCAGCCCAACTGTGGCAGCGGAGACCAGCATGGAAATATTTCAGGCATACTGGAAGCAGCAGATACAGCAAGAACAGCTTTTATTCCCAAATATTATTCAGAACATTTGAAAAGCATAAACTGTTTCCATGTGTTTTTTTCTCCTATATCTGTTCTCTCTCTGTTGCTTTCCCATTTAGTTTTTTAGAGCTAAATTTCTTCTTAGTCCTCACTTAACACTCATTGAGTAAATATTTATTGAGGATTGCTAAGTTCTCCATACTCGTCACTTACATTCAACGGTTCCCCATTCCTATTTTCCCACCCAACTTTACACTTATTGAATGCAATCTCTTTGATGGAGTCCCTTGCATTGCCAGGGCAGAAACCTGGCTCCACACAGGTGCTGTAGCCTTCCTAGTAGCATGTCACTGCACTGAGAGTTCCACGAGGGAAAGATAAATGATGTCTGTTTTGTCCATTACTAAGCACCCAGTGGCTTGCCAAATAGTGGCGGACACTACTTGTGTTCATCAATACCTGGTTCTTTTCTCATTCTCAGCAAAAAGAGGATTACATGTTCATCCCCTTGAACAAGAGGAGGCCACAGGACCAGTTCTGACAAATGGGTTGCAAGCCCATTGATGTGTGTCACTTCTAGGTGAAAACAAACATCTTAGAACAG